GAGCGGGCGGGTGAGTGGGCGAGCGAGTGTGTGGGTGGGTGAAGGAACCAGTAACAAAGCCCATTGTCTCATGGTCCTCTTCCTGATGAGTCTGCTGTCATACTGGAGTTGGGGGAAGGGGGTTTCATGCTTCGTGTGGATCAAGTTCATCCAGATAGTAGCTACCTGCCTGACTCTGGTGGACGTCAGACTATTGTGTTCCTGGTTCTGGTGACACACACCGTTGTCTGAGGTCCCCACTCTCATAGACCGAGTCTCAGTCCCCACTTACCAGGCTCTGTGGAGCTGACTGACCATCAGGATTGCTGAGGTGGATCTTACTGCCTTGGCCACCAGTGGGACTCCTCTGAGGTCAGCATCCACCCCCTTGGCACAGGGCTCAGGGACAGCAGGGGCCTCTGGAAAGGAAGAGGTGATGTCCCAGAAGTCCCAAGCTGGCCCTGTGGCCTATGGCCTGCCAGCTGTGGTGCACCAGACACTGGGAATGGGCATGGCCTTACCCTCGGAGGTTGAGTCACCAGACAACACCAGACAACACAGAAGGACTATCTCTTGACCTTCAATCCACAGCCAAGGGCGCTCAGGGAACTATGCTCAGCACGGGAGGGACAGAAGCCAGCTGTCCAGAGCCTTTGGACCAGGGATGGCCTTGCATGTGCCTTGGTCTCCTGCCCCTCCCCCCCCCCAGGCACATCTGGAACTCAGTCTGCCCCCATCAGCTCTATGAGTGGAATATCCCTGCCGGGCCAGACCGCTGCCACCTTCCGACTCAACAGCACCCCGTTTCCTGGGCTCCACCCTGAAAAGGGGTCTCCACTGTCCCCGCTGGCTCAGCCCCTGCTGGGCTCACGTGGCAGAGAAGAGAGGGGAGTACAGCTGGGGACTGTCAACGTGGAGCGGGAGGCGGGCGGAAGAGCAAAGGGCTTATTAAAACGCCGAAATTGGTTCCAAAATGAGGTCAGCCGTCGATGCGCCTTGGAGGGAAGCCAGGCGGAGAGCAGCACGCATTCATCTCCTGACACCCCCGACGCCCCCGCCCGCCCCGCCCTGTCCTTGGAGGGCACCTGCCCCGAACCGAACCCGTCACAGCCAGCTTGGGTGCGAAGGGAACAGGGTGCTGGAGGGGAAGGGGAGGGGAAGACCAGCCTGCTTCTCTGACCGCCATGCCCCGCCCCCATTCAACCCCACCCCCTCACCTCACTTCATCTCACCCCACCTCACCTCTCCCACCACCCTTTACTCCTCACCCCGACCCCCAACTCAGGCCCTGCATTAGGTCTGGCCTGTTCAGCATTTACGCTGTCCCTCATGAGGCTCCCGAGGACACCGGCCGGAGGAGCGCTGAGCACCGGGTTTTAGCCGGGAAACGTTGCTCAACTTTAAGATCTGGTGGTGCAAGAAGCCTCCCGGGCCCAGCCATTGGAAAGGAGCCTTCCCAACCACTTGGCAGAGTCTCCACTTTCCTGGGGGCCTCTGACCAGCGGAAGGTCCCTGGCCTTGGGGTCCTCTCCGCCTCCCTCCAACTGAGCACGTGCTCTGCAGTCCTTGGCTGTGTGACCTCAGGCTTCTGCTTGACCTCTCTGGGCTTTATTCTTCAGGTATAAAGGGCAGAATCAGGGCCTGCCGGCCCAAAGTGGGTGAGGGGGCATGGGTCAGGTGGGGTCCCTCCTGGCTGACCACAAGCATGGGGTCATCACCCTGACTGAAAGCACTGGCTCTGAACTGGAGAAAGACTGTGTTTGACACCTATTAAAAATAAATGCTATGCAGCACTCTAGTGTTTACTAAAGCCTACATGGTTCCCTCCCAGCTTGGAGCAGCCTTGTTGTTGTTGTTGTTGTTGTTAAGTGCCGTTGAGTCGGGTCCGACCCATAGCGACCCTGTACAGGGTTTCCGAGGGTGTAAATCTTTACGGGAGTAGAAAGCCTCATCTTTCTCCCGCGGAGCAGCTGGTAGTTTCGAACCGCTGACCTTAAGGTTCGCAGCCCGATTCGTAACCACTACGCTACCAGAGCTCCTTTGGAGCAGCCTTGGACACCCCTTATTCCCATGGAAGCCTGTGGCTGGCTGCCCTCCAGCTCAGGTTCTGACTGTACCCCAGCCCCTCTCTCCAGGGCCTCACTGCTCCTCTTACCCAGAACCTGGAGCTGAAGGCAGCCTGGGGAATGATGAGCCATCTTGATTCGAGTTATGATGTCACACACACACGCCCCCCACCACGGACCTCTTCTCCTACGAGACCTTAGTCATGAGTATTAGCAATTCCAACCATAGAATAATACGTGACAGAGTTGTCACTTACTTCAATGTAGTGTCTCTGAGATTATAGAAATACTAACAAGGTTTCTTTGTAAAATCTCTCTACACTGAATCACAACTTTATTAGCTACATTATTAGTAACTAAGTAGAAGCCATTTTAAAAAAATAATTCTTCTTTTCCTTTAGTTACTCCCTCATTCTCAAAAAAGTTATGGAGAACTAGGTTCACAAATACTATTTACCACAACCTTGTGATTGAACACCAGAAAATTTAACAGTAGCAGGAAAACATCTCGCGCTTGTAGAATGTACAGCTGGTACCACGTGGTCAGAGCTTCATTATGATTTGGTGACGATGACAGCTCTGACCTCTGCACAGTAAAAGGTCCAAAAGGTACATAAGTGGAGAGTTTCATTCAGCCTCGTGAGTATACTGATACGCATAAGCTGACCTTACGGAAAATGCTTCTGTCATTATAGCAAGATGCAGGGATGCTTTATAAAAATAATAAATTTCTGCGGAAACACTGCACAAAAATGGCAGGCTCATTTTGATGTCACCCTCTCTGACAGAGCCATCAGTGAAGTTGGCACGCTTGCACTCCCCCACTAACAGGATTGGTTGGAACATGTCTTTCCTAGCAGGTCCATTGTGACACTTGGCAGGGGCCATGCAGATTTGAACCCAACTTTCTGGTTGATCACGTGGGAGATGCGAGATGGGTAGAACTTCAAGTCCTCCGGCTGCTGGATCCTTCTCCACGTGTTTTTTCTAGCAGGAGGCTGGTGATCCTGGTGCTGCCTGGTGGCCTCGCCCTGAACCCCTGGGGTATGGGGCTCAGTAACCCCGTTTTGGTATAGCCGCTGGCTTTTGCCATCAGAGCAGCGGAGGACTTGTGTGTCCACCTCCTCATCAGCTTCAGATCTGGTGGTGAATCCCCAGTGTGGGTATGTATGGGAGAAACAGGCTTGGAGGCAGGTCAGCCTAGGAGGATTCAGACACAGTTGGATCTTCACTTGACCCCCAGTGTTGTACCCCAACAGTGCACCAGCAATATCACACAATGAAGTCTGTGTTATCTCCTGCAGCACTTCACCTTTCAGCTACTCACCCAGGACTGCTCGCCACAGTCTGTCCCTCACAGTAATGCACCCCACAATATGTTCTCCTGAGATGCACCCTGATATCTGTCCCCCTAGAAATGCATTCTTTAGCTGTCCCCCCGTAATTCACCCCATAGTCTGTCCCTCACAGTAATGTACCCTGAAATCTGTCCTCCAGAAATGCACCCTGATGTCTGTCCCCCAGAAATACACTCTTTAGCTATTCTCCCTGTAACTTACCCCATAATCTGCCCCCCCACAGTAATGCACCCTGAAATCTTTCCCCCAGAAATGCACCCTGATGTCTGTCCCCTAGAAATGCACTTGTTAGCTGTTCCCCCTGTAACTTACCCCATAATCTGCTCCCCACAGTAATGAACCCTGAAATCTGTCCCCCAGAAATTTAGCTTATCTGTCCCCAGAAATGTACTCTTTAGCTCTTCCCCCTACAATTTACCCCATAGTCTGTTCCTCGCAGTAATAAACCCTGAAATTTGGCCCCCTAGAAATGCACCCTGAAGTTTTCCCCCAAAATGCACTCCTTAGCTGTTCTGCCAGTAATGTAAACCACAGTCTGTCCCCCACAGCAATGCACACTGAAGCTGTTCCTCCAATAGTACAACCCCAGTAATGTAACCCACAGTCTGTCCCCCCAGAAAAGCACCCCAGTAATACAGTGTGTCCCTAGTAATGCACCCCACCATCTGTCTCCCCAACATGCACTGTGCAGTCTGTTTCCCACAATGCACTGCACAGCCTACCTCTCCAGCGATGCAGTCTGTCCCCAGCCACCCTACGATGCATCCCCTGCCTCCCAGCAATGCGCCCACGCGTTGTAGAGCAGCCGTGGCCGCCAGCTGGAGCCTGTGGGGAAATAGAAAGGAGACAAAGTGGGAAACAGCAGGACATGGAGAGAGTGTCTAAACACAGGGCCTATTTGGAGATTGTCTTTTATTTTTAGTTTGAAGTTTGTCCACCCCCAACCCCTGTTGTTGTAGAGACGATTGCTGGGCTTAGGCCCACAGCAGCTGGGAGCCCCATGCCCACTGGTTCCCTCAAAAGTGACCCCTCCAGGCCTCAGTCTCCTCATCTGTGGATGGGTGGCAGCCCCCAGCCTGCCAAGCTGTGAATGGTCAGGTGGGGTCAGCACAGCCTGACCGGGGGCTGGGGACAGGATGGCGGCTGCAAGGTACACTTCCCGGACAGCTCCTCAGGGGCCGGAGGGACGGGACAGTGGCGGCTTCAGCCCCACTGATGATATCCATGTATCATTAGTGTCAATTACTGGAGGGAGGGTGCCCGGTGTTTGGCCTGGGGCGTGGGCTGGTGGGAGGGGCAGGGGACAATTGAATTGCCCATCAGACAAATGTGATTACGGATGCAGTCCAGGCCCACCCCCACGGGGGGATGAGGCATAAATGGCCAGGTGCGGACTGCTGAGCACACGCCAGCATGCAGGCCCTCAGCCACCGGCGGAGGTGTCCTGACCTCCCCAACCCCACCGCACGCGAGGCGGCCTCCATGTACGGCACCGCTGTGGCCATCTTCCTGGTCATCCTGGTGGCTGCATTGCAGGGCTCAGTGCCCCCTGAGAATCCCTTCCCCTACCACGTCCCCCTGGACCCTGAAGGAACCCTGGAACTGTCCTGGAATGTCAGCTATGCACGGGAGGATGTCCACTTCCAGCTCCTGGTGCGGGGACTCAAAGCTGGCGTGCTCTTCGGCATGTCCGACCGCGGAGAACTCCAGAATGCTGATCTCGTTGTACTCTGGACCGATGGGAACAGTGCCTATTTTGGGGTGAGCCTCCCCCACTGCCTCTGTCCCTCACCCCATCCTTGACCAGCACTCATCTGAACTTCCTTCCACACCCACCCTTCTGATCACCCCCCCAAATGTTCTCTTGCCTCCATCTCCAGTGTAGTGGGGCTGGGAATGGGCAGATGAGAGCAGGTACCATGGAGGGTCTCTACTGTGCACACTGAGATAATGTACTGACACCTGGGGCTCACATGTGTTAGCCCACCCCAGTGCCAGCTCACCCCTCTGCTCACACACAGTACCAACAAGGCACCCCAGTCGTCCCCAGCCTCCGACGAAGGTTGAGAGCCTGCCCTGATGCCAGGAGCCAGCCCCTGCAGGCCTTCTTGTGCATGCACTATGGGTGAACCTGAGGGGGCACGCCCAGGTGTGGGACAAGGTGAGGGCCTCAGAGCTGCCCAGACCAATGCAGCCAAGCTTGTGACCCTGTCTCCACTGACACAAGGTGTCATCTGAGCTTCACTCTAGCATGCAGAAAGGGAAGGTTCTCTTCAAACAGGCTGAGCTGGGGCTTTGGGGTCCTTAGCCAGCTCCCGCTCCTCACATGTGAGGTGAGTCCAACTCTTCCCCACAAACCAGAGGAGGGGTTTGCAGAGCCAGGAGCCGTCTCCAGCCAGGGCGGAGTGGGTACTCTACAGGAATGAGATGTTGAGAACATTCAGTGTGCCACCATCTTGGTTTTCTCCTCCAGGGAGCGGAGACAAGAACCCCTCCACTTTGGGTGTGTTGTGAGGCCACATGAGCTGACAGGGGCAGGTAGTTCTAGAACTGGTTGTGTCTGATCCAGTTCCCAGAAAGGCTCTGCAGGCAGATGTCTATCGCAGGCCAGTGCTGAGATGAATCAGGGCACGCCATTGGTTTAAGGCCCCAGCAAGGTAGAAAGGGTTGGAGCCATCCAGGGAGGGCTCTGTGGTCCTCGGGACAGTACAGCCAAGGGAGATTGGGGGTGGTCCTGCTCCCTGACTTCCGCCATTTGCAGGGGAACAGCTGGAGTCTTCTCATCTGGGGTCTCCCATCTTTTCTGGAGAAGTCTTTCTCCCTGTTGGCATTCTGGCTAATGAAGGCATTGGACAGCCCTCCCCTTTCCAGTACACTGTGGAATTAATTTATGCAACAAATTCATGGGAAAACAAATGTCCTGCTGGTTTACCTCCTTCCACAGTTTGTCCCACAAACCTGGCATTGATTGCTAGCTGAAACCTCACAGACGACATTTGGTCCAGGTTCAAGTCCATCCTCCAAGAAACCAGCCTCATCCCCACCAGGGTTCAATGGACTGCTTTACTTCAGGGGATGTTTTTCAAAATCTTTTTCAGATTGCTTTTTTCTATAGAAAATTAAGAAAACACATTTAGCCTTGGATACAGGATGAAAACAAAACAACAAAAACCCCTTTAGGGAGGACCAGGCTTACTAGTCAGATAGAAACTGATGGAACCCAGAGACCATGACCTGTAGTCACCTTTCTGGTCTAGAACTGAATTAACCCTATGACTCAACTTTCAGCCAAACACTACACAGGTCTATAAGGGGGACACTAACACCAGGCAGGCAGGTAGGAACACCTTAGACACAGGTCTAT